AAATCTAATTTATTGGTCATTCATCAATATTAAAGATATCCTACCCTGCCCAGATACTTAATGTCTTTGAAAAATAAGCTTATCATGTTGCCTTTCCTCTACAAATACTCTTTGCTTCAGCAATTTTCATGTCATTGCCACTCTCTCAATTCATGGGCCTCTGATATCCATTCTGCACCAAGTTTAGAGATTCAATTCTTCCTGCTTCCTGTTGTGCCGCTGTGAGATTACTTTGTAAATATTACTTCTTTTCAATCTCAATCCTCTTCTATTTTTCACTTCAATCACTTTTACAAAGAACTTGTAGTGTAACAACTGCCTTACTGTTTTAATCATGCCACTTTTCTACCCTAGAATGTAAATTTACATTTGCCACAGGGCTTGAGTGACTCTCAGAGACCACACATCCTATCTCGTGGATAAATGACTTGAGCCCCGGAGAAGATTTGCCCTGCCCAGAGTGACACAACTAGCTAAGACAGGAATTAGGACCCAGAAGGTGAAGCCTAGTCTAGATGCCAGGTCTTCTGATTCTTAAACCAATTCTCTTTTTGCCTTTTGCACTGCTGTACCAGACCTTCAGATAGCATTCCCTTCATGATAAAACTGTATCAACTGTACTTCATATAATTCCTCAGATGAACCTCCCTGTCTTAGTCTTACCTCGAAATATGACTTGTTTCTTCCTACTGCCTTGGAAATACAAGCTTTCACCTTGAAAGCCACCCTCCTTACTTTCCACCGAGGTATGTCTCAATTTCTTGGAAATAATGCACCTTTTTCAGGGTATAACTGTTGCTGCTACTGCTACTACTACTCTTAACAATTGCAGTATGGCCCTCACTTATTGTACTTTACCTGGCTCCCGAGAGACATGACTTCAACTTTCCTTATTCCACAGATATGAGATTTGAGACCCAAAGAAGTGAAGTAACCTGCCCAAGTTTACACAGCTTGGAGTAGAACCCGAATTTCTTTTGACTCCAGAGCTCATGAGTTCACCACTTCATTCTGCGCCTCCTGACTGTGTAAGCATTTGGCACTGTTCAACTCTAGATTGCCCTTGAATTCAGTTGCACTTACTGTTAGCTGCTTTGGGTATATGCTGAACCTTCGTTATAAATGTAGGCTCTAGCCTTGCAGCTGGACAGTATACCCTCTGAATACAGAATCACTGAACGCTATCTTTAGATTATCTAGCTCCCCTCAGGGCATCTACTATGAAGCCCTGCTCTGAGCCCTCCTCTGACTGATGAGGGTTTAATTAGCCTAGAGATTCCTCTGTGACAACCAGCCAAGAAGCTTCTATGTTGAAAAATTTCCCATTGTGCCAGAGACTAAAGCTGGTACTTAGATTTTTTTTATAACAGGGTGAATAGAATGCCACTGAGGAAACACGCAGTATTTCAGCATGACGACTTGTTTGCTATTGCAGAAAGACCAAGAAAAAGCTCTCTCACTCCTCATAAGTTACTCTTTCTCTACCTAGTATTATATACCATTAATTAGAAACAAATTCACCTATCATGTAAGATGTATTATAAAAAAATTATGAGGAAATATTTCTTCAAAAGTTATTTTGTGAGAGTAAAAGATAAAAGCATATGAAGTTGCTGACATGAAGAAAACACAAAATATAATGCAGTGTAAGGTCCACTATTTGCAGTACTCCAATTCTATTTTCCAGGAGCTTGGATGAGAGTGCTCAGTGGCCAGGCTTGGACAAGGAAGGAAGACGGGCAATCATCTTGCAGCAAGGAAGGGCAATGAGCAATGAGGCTCAGTTCCCAAGAGCCTGATTTAAAAGACGATTTTAATACTGTTGGGGGTTTTATTACAAAATTTTTAAAACATTTATAAACTAATAGACTACTTTTAAAAATTAATTGACTTTAAACAAAGATAATAGACTTTCATTTTTAGCGCTGTGGCAGGTCTATAGAAAAAGTGAGGGGAAAGTGTAGAAAATTCCACCCAACCCCTCTCCTACCTTACCTTACAGTCTCTCCCATTTTTAACATCTTGCATTAGTGCAGTACATTTATTATAATTGATAAACCAATATTGATACATCATTAATTAAAGACTACAGTTCACATTAAAATTCACTCTTGTGTTGTACATTCTATGGATTTTGAGAAATGCATAATGAAAAGTATCTTACATTACAGTATCTTCAAAACAGATTGTAAGGTAACAAAATTTCACAAAAAGAAGACTAAAAGATGCCATGTTGAAACCCTTAACTGTGCTGAAACAAGTTAAATCAACTAAAACTCAACCTAAAACTTAGTGAACTTATTCTTTATAGTTCCTTCCAGACAGAAAAGCAATATAGTAAAAATTAAGTAGTCTTTTCTTTGAAAATTGTAGTTATTTTGATAAACAGTGCTGTCAAAACAGGAAATATGAACACCAAATACTCTAGTTCATTCTCTTTCGTGTGCTGCTCTCAGGGTTTGGTGTGAATACTTCATAGTTAAAGTATGTCTTCCCTTGAGGATCACATAGACATTTAATTTCTGTTCTGGCATTTGACCTATTGTGTTTATGAGGTTCTATTGAGAAATGGAATTGATGATTTCTTCCATAACCACAAAGAAAAAATTGAGAGTTACTGATTTCAAACCACTATTATAACCTTTCAAGTTTTTCTGGAAAAATGTTTTCTTTCCAAAATGAAAGAAAAAGAACTCCTTATTAAATGTCTAACTTTTCCATATCATCACATCTTTCAATATGTTAAATTCACCTCAGACTTAGCTGGAAGGTGGGAGTTCCTCATCTGTAGTTTGGAATCTACCAGGAGATGTCACTGGCTGGCCTAATCTGTACTGGTTCCTGCTTGTTGAGACATTATTTTCAAGGAAAAGAGCAGATTTTCCATCTGGGGCCCACCCCTCCTGTCCTCCACAATAACTTTCTTGTCAGTGTACATTCACTGTTCATGCCTCAAAGTCCGTCCTTCTCAACCCCCATAAGCCCCTGAGGATTCAGAGGAAGTCAGTGTTAATGCTTTCTCCAGTCTTTCCCTCTTGTGTGAACTGCTACTTTAAGACTCTTTTGAAGAATCATAACCCAAGTTGTGAAGTCCAACAATTCCTCTGGAGAAATGGTTCTCAACTAGGGCCAAATTTGGGCCCCAGGAGACATATGGCAATATCTGACAATGTTTTTTTGATTGTTACAAACAGGTTGGGGAGAGTCCTGTTAGCATCTAGTAGGAGAGGCCAGGGATGCTCCTGAGCAGCCTGCAGGATGCTCCCCCGCCCCTACCACCACCCACATTAAAAGATTCTCTGACCCACGATGGCAATGGTGCTGAGGTTTAAAAACCCTGCTCTGAAGTTTTAATCAGTTGGCCATTTTTGCCATCCCATGTTGAAATATTTTGATTTAAAGCATTACTTCTGGATTCCTTTTTCAAGATAATGTCCATTGTACAGTGGAAAATGATGTGTTTTCCTATCACTTTGCTCAAGAATAAAGCTGTCATATTTGCAAAATAGATAACCTTTGTTGTTACTCAAAATGTAAACTGTCATAAGGGATAAGAGATTAACTGATTTCACTGCCAACGTTTACAGTGTCATTATTTTTCCCTTTAACTACCTGCTTGATATCCTTGCTGACGAAGATGTTTTAAAATGAAAGACAATTAGAGGCTTTATGTTTATGAAAAATGAAGTGTTCAGGCACAAAAGAATGCACAGTGGACCTTTTATGGGATGTTTAAAATATCCTTTCATTAAAAGATTTTCTGAAGTGGCTGTTTGTCACTTAATAGGAATCCCCGTTGTTGCTACTGTTGTTTTCATGCATAAATACCAGCATCTGTAAGTTTCCAGGATGTTCTTTAGAATTTCACACCACTTGACTTCATGTTGGGTTGCCTCAGATGATTTTTCAATCTTAAAGTCACATCATATAAAAGTGTATCTTTCAATACACTGCAAAAACCATTGGAAACGCAGCCAGAGAACAAGATTCTACTCACTGATGAGATTTGTTTAGCTGGGATGGAATTCAAATCTTTTTAAATTCGTTGCCAATATTCTTAAAAATTAGTAGATTGCTCATAAGAATCTAAATTATTTTTCTTTTCTGAAAAATCAAAAGATCTGGCTTTTGTGGCCAGCATTCCTCCATGGCAACAGTCTACTGCAGGAGAATGTATGCTTTAGACAGGTCTGGCACCTGCCCACTTGTCTAGTGCCCACCAAGCCTGTTGGACACCCGTGGGTCTGTTTGCTGCAGTCATTTGAGGGGATAGACCCCTGCTCCATTGCAGTTGAGTTCTGCAACTGCAAGTGCTTATATAGAACCCAGTCCTTGCTGCATAAAATAACACAGCAATTCATATGAGAAGGAGCTGAGACCATTTTGGAGAATGGTAGAAAATGTGCTAAGAGTAGAGACTGAGCTGTGACTAAATGGAAGGGAACAGATAAAAGCAGATTCAGAGATTCCAGTCTGCTTCCTAGTATCACCCTTAGAGAGAAACCTGACCTTTGGTGAGAAGGCAGACCAGGTAGTAAATATAAAGGAAACTTGAGTACTTTTATGACCATGTCAGAGGCTCTTTGCTGTTGAATTTGACTGTATATCATCTTTGCCTCAAGTGGTGAGTTCTTAGTCCTGGCCTATGTTCTTGAGAAATCACCACAAATAGAAATGGAATCCAGGAAGAGCTCCATGAGGTAGGCAGCAGTCCAAGGTGGCAGTATTTCTAACACAATGTGTGGGAGTTAGGACATGAAGCAAAGGTAGAGAAAATGCAAATCCAGAATCAAAGCACAGGGAATATCAGACACATGCTTTTGGATTGAAACTGTAGAGTCCAACTGAAGGAGAAGTGTCAGCTAAAAACCTTACAGGACAGGTGAGAACAATAAGATGGCCGTTTCTGGCCCGTGCATTCCTTTATGAGAAGTCTGATTTCGCTTAATCTAGAAGACCCATGGGTCAACTCGTTCCTCTGTCTGTAGTGATCTAAGGCTCACACTTGGCTCAGTCTTCATTTGACAGTGCCTGATTCGCGTGTCAGCTACAGCACATTTCCTGTCAGCTACATCATACCTGATAGACCATTTCTCTAGTCTTTCAGAGTCTGAGAAGAGTCCAGAATAGTCTGGCCACACAGAGCTTCAGGATACTTCCTTCTCTCCCTGCCCCCAAACAAGATAAAACGTCTTGAAGCTCTGGCCTCCCTCCACCTGGACTCCAGAAACTTGGAGATGAGGAGAAAAAAATTCTAGGGGGTTGGGATGGGAAGTGAGGTAAGGGAATGAGCTGGTTTGGAGGGTATTTAAGCCTTATCTGATGAAAGAGAAAAAAGAAAGACTGGAAAGAATGACAATTGAGGAAGAAAAAGAGTGAAAGAATATTAAAATTGTTGCTGGAAGACATCCTAGGTAAACATTATCCTAGGCTTGGCTTTCTTTCAATGTCGTTATGTATACAGTGACCATGTAATTTACGATCTGATCTCCTAAAGTAAAAGAGGGAGCTATTAATAATTTTTCCAAGATAACAGCATGACTTGGGACTGGCCATGGTAAACCAGGGCATCAGGTGTCCCTAGTTAGTGTCAAAGTAACAACAGCAAAGCTTCCTTTAGATTCACAGCCACAGGCTACTAATTAAATTATAGAGGCCTAGAGGCCTGGAGGCATAACCAATTGTATTATGATGTTGAAAGTGAAGACCCCAACTTGGTTGAAGGATGAGGAGAGTGTTTCTGTCTCTAAAGTACCCGGGACTTGAAAAAATAAATCACAGATGCACAAGAATTCAACTTGAATTTTCTGAATTGGGCCTAAACAGGTGTTTTCACTTTTTGAATCTGCCAGTGATTCTATGTGCAGCCTACTCAGAACTCTGCAGCTTCTCCTAGGCTTCCAGGAGACCATACCTTCTATTGCCCTCTCCTTAATTGGCCTGTGCTGGAACTGGCGAATTTCCTCCCTGTTTACCAGCCCCCACCATTCTGGGGCAAGAGGAGGTGGTGGCCTGCAGTAAAGGGAACTTTGCATTTGAGCCAAAAATATGTGTTTATCGTCAAGGACAAACAAACAAGAAACTTGAGTAAAACCTGCAAACCAGGTCAGTAATAGCTCTCAGCATCACGAGCACAAACATTTAAGAAGTTATGCTTGGCTTGGTGCTTTATCACGACACAGAGTCACACAGACACATTTGTGAAATTGTTTGCTGTACCTATTTAGTTTTCAGAGATGCCTACACTGAGTCCACTTCCAGACCCCAATGATTTCATTCAACCTGTATTTATGGAGCATCCGCTAAAGCTCGAGTGCTAGGGGCTGCCATAGCTGCTGCTGCACTACAGCAGAGTCTTCACTTTCGAGACCGAGTCCAGTGGGGAAGTAACACACAGAACCAGAGAGAGAGCGACCTGGGCTGCGTGGAGCTGCTGTCACCCACAATGTCACATGGCTACACAGCCAGTAGCAAGATCAGTCTCA